AGTACTGATAACTTTTGTTCTTTAGTCGTTCATTTCCTCAGCTCGACGACGTACATGCTCATGTGTTTGTTTTCAGGAGTGATGATCTCTTGAAACCAGTGTGATACGATACGACTTGTTTAAAGACAATTATATGTTTCATTGATATTGCAATATTGACATTCAGTGTCGTATTTTATATTTTGCTATGCCTTGTCCTAGTAGTAAGTACCAACATGATTCAAACCAGGTCCGGTTGCTGAATTTCCGTTGACCACAAAAATTCATACTGGGTATTTCTCAATTGCAGAGTTCTTGTCACGATTTCCAATCGTACGCCCAGGTCACTGTCCCACAACTCCTTTGGTATTACGAGAACTCAAGAAATAGTCACGGTAATATGGATGACCAAGTTGTTGCCCCCATGTCGAACTTAACATCCACCGCAGTTTCCTTTGCGCTCGATAAGAATGATTAACAATCGTAGCAAATGGTGCTGCGGCATGCGGTATCTGCATGCACTGCCGCCTTAAGAAACCTGGTGTGATCGAAGCCGTAAGTGCATGATTTTGAATAACATTGTAATTGAAGCAATATTTGAAACCCATAGTATAGACTTGTAAACCTAACATAAATGGGGGAATATGATGTTGCTTAACCAGTGGAACCTAATTTAACTATCATACCTTGCAGTCGAAATGGTGCAAAGTTGTGACCCTTGTCAGGAGCTTCATACGAATCTAGATTGGATGACCAGTGCTAATGGCATTGTTCACGATAAAGGCTTGAATAATCTTGTAACTCGAACATAAATAAGGGGATATCAGAATCAGACCCTTCAGTCATTTTTCACGTAGAACCATGGCCCCGGATGTGCCCAAAAGGCCGTAGCAATCATGGCCAGCCAGTCCTCGGCCGGTCTATGTAGGATGGGTGCTGGCCAGTGCATTAGATTGGTCAGAATGGTCAAGGCTAGCCTTAATGTTACATATTGTAGACACAGGCTAGCCAGCAGTACTAGACTTAGGGTGGCCCTGGCCAGCTGTCCACCTACAGCCTGTACAATGGGTCCGGCCGGTTGGCACTAGAGAAACACACAATCTATATTATACCAAGCAATATACTCATTCTTATCAGTCAGTTACACATTTTAGAAAACATCCGGCCGGTTTTATACCTTAGATACTAGTGCCACTTGTTACTGATGTAGAAACCACCCGGCCGGTCTATTTATTAGACACTACCATCCCGGTGTAGAGACTCGATCCTGGGTAGCCTCACAATGGCACATATTGCAACATAGGTCGAGGTCTACAGTATCATGCATGTAACACGACACTTGCGCGATAAACGCGACGTTCACGCGGCGCGCGCGACTTAGGCGACACTTCCGCGACATAGGCGACACTTGCGCGACTTGCGCGCGCTTTAGGCCAAATTTCCCGCGCCTAAGCGCTATAGGGCGCCCTGACTTCCCACTGTGTTTTCCCATGTCCCAACCAAGTTCCCAGGTATGCATTTCTCCATTTATCATTTATTTCAACATCGTACCATGTTTATTTTCACTTGGTACACAATTTTTCATTACACATTTTTTTTACTTTACACAACACCACATTACCATGGACCACCATCATCATAGACAGTCACCATCTCCGAGTTTTTTATTATGTTTGAATAAATCATCGCAAGCCCTAGTAGCAGTTAGCTCTAGTGGCCATATCCGCAATCAGTTGTCTTATCAGCATCTCAGTAACGTCTTAACATCTCACTATCGCTCGCATGCCGCTTTCACCCAGTTTCCACTTTTCGACGTGCGACTTTCCCGCGCTTCGCGCGCCTATAGCGCCTTTGTTCCCGCACTTTCGCCTTATCACGCGCTTTGCGCATTCCCCCTAGAGTTGACCAGTGGATATTTGCTTTCTTCCGCTTCCCCTAAGGGACGAACATATCGCACTCATATTTTCCTCCCTTCAACAATTATATCAGCTGCACCCTCAGCTGAGTTGAAGATCCTTCACCGGCCAGATGTAGACTACATAGTGTAGAACAATGCTGGCCAGGCTGCCTTGTAGTGATATATATTTACAGACTGTAGAAACCACCTGGCCGGTCTATTTCTTAGACAGTACTATCCTGGCCAAATGTAGACCACCTAGTAGATTTATGCTGGCCAGGCTGCCTTATAAGGACCTACACACCGGCCAGCCTTGCTTCTACATAGGCAGATGCAGACTGGCCGGTGCAAAGGTTCAGAGCTACAAACCGGCCAGCCTTGCCTTTACATAGGTATATACAAGCCGGCTGGTGCACTGTGTTCAAACCTACAGGCTGGCCAGCCTTGCTTCTACATAGGTAGGTGCAGACCGGCCGGTGCAAAGGTTCATTTACAGACTGTAGAAACCACCCAGCCGGTCTATTTCTTAGACAATACCATCCTGGCCAGATGTAGACTACCTAGGGTAGACTATGCTGGCCGTGCTGACTGTAAGTGATATATATTTACAGCCTGCAATATAGACTGCATAGGGTAGAGCTATGCTGGCCGGTGTAGAGACTCGCGTTTCTGTGGGCTCATATGGGCTCATTTTATGAATTCTGGCAACTGGCCTTTACTGCACGACTCGCACCATCATCCGTATGCGACTTCTATCTTGTTTCTGGTCATTCCACACACAACGCGCAGCTTTCCCACGAAACGCGCCATAGGCGGCTACTTTCCCACACAACGCGCAGCATTCCCGCGCGCGCGCTTAGCGCGTTTCTCGCGCTTAAGTGCACTCCATCGCGCATCATCCAGGAACATCCATCCATCATCCAACCAGTTCCTAGGTGTGTCCCTTTTCGTTATTAGACCATATTTAGCCTATTACACTTTGTATTTCTTATGCACCCTTACTTTACATCACTTTACCTCACTTACATACTTAGAGCGCTCCCTATTCGGCTCCGAGCCCTGGGAGAGCGCTTAGGTAGAACTTACATACTTTCATGTTCGTTTTACACCACCACTAGCTACCGACCACATCTTTCTACCACCATGTACTTGGCAGTTAGTTCCATGCAATGCATGCGTCCGTCGTCGTCTTAAGGCCCTAGCATCAGTCTAAAGCTAGTGGCAGTATCAGTATCCATCTATATCCGCGCTTTTCACCATATTATCGTCTCTCTACACTTGTGCACTGCTCGCACTACCATCCCTGTTCTTCCGCGCATTTTCGCCCTTTCGCACTTTCGCCTTCCCGCACTTCGCGCATTTTCGCGTTTCACTTTCCCGCGCGCGCCTTGAGCGCATTTCTCGCGCTTACATCGCCCTTTTGTCGCCTTTGATCAGGGTTGATCAGCATCATTTCGTGGATCCTTGCTTTCTTTGCTTCCCTTAAGGGTCGAACATAATCGCACGGCATATCAAGACCCAACATAGAGAGTGTTTGCTTGTCATCTGACTTGTGTTCACCTTTGTTGTGTTACCCCACACCGGGCTGCCTTGTAATTCAACGTAAATAGAGACAGTATACTACATCAAAGTATAAAACCACATCATTGAAAGTCTTCTCAGCATCATCAACAAATCTTCCCCACATCAAGACCTGTTGATAAGCATAGGCTTGATGACCAGGTCTAATGGCTTGGTACCCCCCCTTCTGTCCCATTCTTTCTCATGATACTTGAACCAGTTTATGGTCCAACCCATTTCATGTCTTACCAGACTCAATTCCTCTTGCCATCTACTCCATCTAGCCTTGGCCTTCAACCAGTTCACCCTGTAGACTTGATCAGAGTAAGTTTAGGGGATACCTAATTGAGATAAAATTTCCTCCCTTACATTCATCCATCCAGGCATCTTCTTGACCTCTGCTGGCATTATTCACCCTCCAAAACCAAGCGAGTTTGTCTGACCCTTGTCCAAATCTGTTTTCTTCTGTTACCTCTTTGTCTATACTGAGCTCAGTAGGCAATATCGGGCAGTAAAGACTGCCCAATGTGGTGTCGTCCATGCCTAGATGTTCCATTGCCAACCTTGCCCTCTGATAACTTCTTACACACTTGTCAATTTTGAGTTGACATCGACAAGCTTCTTGCTTTGACCTGGTGCCAGCCCATGTAGAATCAGCACTTTGAAAATACTGACGATAGATAATCGCCTTATGACCAAGGGCCATACAGAGGCTTTCTAGGCAGTCATTTGCTTGGCCCTTTCGAAGTTCCAATTCCTCAGCTTGGAGGGGGCCCAGGCCAAGAGTCAGTGCATCATTGTGGGCCACTGAAGATGGCATCCAGATACCCATCTCTTCAGCTAGGATTTCTTCATCTAAATCCTCCGAGATTTCCCCATCTGAGGACCTCTTCCCACTCATAGCCATCATTATCTGCATGGCAGAATCTAGGATCATCGGAATGTACTGTTGGGAGTCCAAGATCCATACTGGCAGTCATGGCATCAGCAGTTTCATGAAATTTAGCAATCCTAGCTGCCAATCTATGTCGCTTCTCTTCTATAGAAGCTTTCTGAGCAGGGGTTGCCATCGATGGGAAGTTGTCGAATATCTGCTCTCAATCCATCCCTGAAACAACACTGTCAAGCTGTTCCTTCCATTTGTGTCAATTACGTACTGTAAATCCTCCAGATTGATGCCAGTAATGAGCCAAGATACTGTTCCTGGTTTTCCAGTGTCGGCCTTCTCAGACTCGGTTAATTTGAGTCAGATCTCTGCCATAGTTGGGGCTAGACACAAATCCTGATTAGACGTCTATACAACATTGCAGTTGGACAGAGTTCACCCTACCTTTGTTGATCTGCAACTGATAGATGTCAAGATACTCCCCATGTTCTTCCATAGCCTTTTGCTCATTGATCTCCCATATCAAAATCTTCTCAGGGTCCAGAGACCGAGCGAGCTCATCAAAAGGGGTTTTTGTCTCGTCAACACCCTTGAGAGCTCGTTTATACTTTTTCAACAGAGTCTTCACTGGAAGCTCAAGTGTCAAACCCTGTTATCAAATCTATCAATTGAAGTGCTTACTTATTCCAACTAATTTTTTCCAGTTTGAGTCGCACATATGATCATCAAGAACTTCTTGACGGTGGGCTTGACTCATTGACCGAGCAGTTGGGGAGATCTTATTGAACGGTGCCCACAGGGTCTCCAAAATCTCCCCATCAACTTGTCCAGCCCCTTGAATGAAGTTGAGGCTGTACCTTGCAAAGCAAGCCAATTTGTGAGTGCTGAGGTGGAATTTTCCAACCGCAGGAATGATGTGCATATTTTCAGGCACAGACAAGCCTTTGCTATGGGCCACTCTCTGTAAAAAAGTAATGCTCCACTGACACCCCACATCATAGATAATGAGAGAGGAGTCTATACCAGTCGAACAATAATTCAATGCATTGCATATGAATAATCAATGTTCATGTGTCTACAAATACCGTGAGCTTTGAAACATGCTGTCTTTGAGGACATACACAGACCTTTCACCCTTCTGAAAATTGACTATGCTGTGTGGAACAAAGCATCCATGTCGGGCACAAGCAGTTGCTCCTACCCCTGTAGCTCGGAGATTGCTCCTGCTGATATTGGCCGCATTTACTGCTCGATGATTGCTACATGAAGAACGCTACATGGATTGTCAAGCAAGAAGGAAAAACTATAGACACAAGTTAACTCACCTCTTTACTTTCTACAGCCAATGATAGATGAGTCTGGTATTCTCGTTCTTTCACCATATACCCAAGCCCATCTGACAAACTAATATCCCACTGTGGCTTTTTCATGGTCATATGTTGAGCAGTAAAGTTACCGTCCACCACATATCTTTGTGAAACAAGCCAACTGTATAAACTTTGGGTAAGTATAAGGTCAAGTAATAAGGTCAAAAGATTAGACAAAAGCAAGCACCAATGATTGTCAAAGTGGACTCCAACCGGCATGGTTCTGCATGCGGTCTTTAGAGAGCTGACCGGCCAATATAATCTCTGAATACACCGGCCGGCCTAATTCTACGTTCTGTCCATACAGTGCTGGCCGGCTTGACCAGAACTCGAGCCACTTCGGCCAGAGTTCTTGTACACTGTGCAGAGCAGGGCCGGCCAGTGTCCTGCATGATTGGGAATCATGCATGGACATGACTACTAGGTATCCCCCTAAAAGATAAAGTCTGTTAGCTTAGTCCTCAGACTAGTCAACCCATACCTTGGTATCAAACCTTGGTCCAATAGTTTCAGTTTTCCCTCAGTGATTCATGAATCCACCATGTTTGAAGAAAGTCATATGTGAGATGGGAATCACATAATGACCTAGTTGATATGAGAAGCAAAATGAAGGTTAAGGTATTGCCTTTCCTTTGGCTTATTCACTTTGGCTAGAGAAACCCATAGAGAAAAGTTCAAAGCCTAACAAAAACCTATCTAAAAAGCCCGCATATTGTGTACTATTATTTGTTCCATTATTTCTGAGTTGTTTTCTCTAGTGTTTCTTTACTTTACTTTTCTATTAGGATGCTCTGACTAATCAGATGCTTCATAAAATTGTACCTACAGGGTATGATGTCATAATGATGTCATAGGACTTCACCTACACTCCTGCAGGTATTTTGGTTGAAAGATATGATATCATAGTGATGTCATAATGATGTCATGTTCCATGGAATTTGCTAGAACATTCCAATGACTCATAATGACTCATAGTGACTCATAGTGACTCAGAATGATGTCATTATCCCCACCATGAATATTCTGGAATGTTCTTTTGCACCTGCTAGAACATTCTGCTCCAGTTTTTGGAATATTCTTCTCACATTCTGAAGTCATTACATCACCTTTTTACTTACATAATATTCCCACCAAAATGTATATAAGGAGAGCCCATTCTCCCCCCCAAAAAAAATAGATCTCCCACTTGTTGCATTCAAGAACTCCCACTTGAGCAAATTGAACTCTCACCTAAGAAGCTTCAGTCTGAACAAATTGCTGCTTACAAAGCCCATTTCCTTTGTAAGAACTGTCCAGGCAAGTGCAGGGAAAGTGTTTTCCCTTGAGATTACATAAGTTTCTCGCGATAGAAACCCAGTTTTGTGAGACCAGTGTTCTCACCACGTAGTGTTTACTGACCAACACGAGCTTTGGTCACCGTTGTTATTTGTGAGACCAGCGTTCTCACCAGGTATTTGTATACTGACCAACACGAGCTTTGGTCATTGTTGTTATTTGTCATTGTTTTTTTTATTTGTCATTGTTGTTATTTGTGAGACCAGCGTTCTCACCAGGTATTTGTATATTGACCAACACGAGCTTTGGTCCACGTAGTCACATTTGAGACCAGCTTCTCAACAGTTAACCGTATATTCAGGAAACCAGTTCAAGTGTCTAGACGGTATATCCTAGACAATCCCATAGTTTCAATCAGAGATAATAAAGCTCCGGCTAAGTTAATCTACTGATTGGTTTAGCGAGCCTCCCAAGAACTCCACACGTTATCTACCACGAAAGAAGAAAAGTCGTAGACCATGTAATCGAGGACTGGCAAGAAGTCTTATCCAGTGTAATTGTGGTGTCATTACATTCTTACACGTATTTATATAAGACCCTCGGTTATTAAGACATCGGATGGATAACGAATCATAACCGGGAATGAAGTCTAAGCTAAAGCAGATCAGTAAGTGTAGCAGATCAGTAAGCATAACGGAAGTAAAGGATAACCGGTATACCGGTGTACAGGAATGCCGAAGGTCCAGACTTTTTGTCATATACCATATTCCGGGTACAGATCCGAAAATCCGGATCTCAGATCCGATCCAGATCCAATGGACATATCCGTCGTCCGGTCCACAGATCCGATCTAATCCTTGTTTCATGTCCTGTTCATATAACTCTAACTATTGTTCATCTCCTTTCGGCATTCCTGTACACTGGTATACCGGTTATCCTTTACTTCCGTTATGCTTACTGATCCGCTACACTTACTGATCTGCTTTAGCTTAGACTTCATTCCCGGTTATGATTCGTTATCCATCCGACTTACCGATATGCTGTACACATACTTTGCTTATACTTCATACATAGCCTCGCGTCCTTGCTTATTGATCATTCCGTTAGTTATCCGTAGTATATAAACCCTTGTACATGCGCTGTAGTAGATCAGTTCGAATATCATCTTGGACTGCACTCATTCTGTCTGGACTCTAAGTCCATCCGTTATCCGTCCGGACTTGAGTACAATACTCTTGTCTACTCCGAGACTTAGGATTGATTCCTATAGTCTATATATCCGTCTCTGTCTTCGGACAGTCCTCGCCCGTTAGTTTCTAGTTCGGATCCGATCCGGATTAGCCGTTACTATATACGTTTGATATCCGGAAGCCATAACGGATCCGTTACGAGACTTATCCGTCTCAATATACGCGATACTTTAGTACTCTGAAATAAGGGGCAAGACTCGGGAAAGGGGCACAGCGCACGAAGCTGAGGCTGAAGCCCTTCGGATCCGATACCACTTGAGTATGGTCTTAACAGTATATTTGAACTCATACCTTTCCGAGTTACTTACACCTATCATGCCTCCAACAAGACACAAACAACTCTGCACATGGTCGGACTTACCTCCCTCTGTCGTGATCTGACACCCATAGTCCAACACCTTCACCAGTTTCTCTCAGCGATGCGTTAGTCGCGGACCCACTCAAACCATATCCGAACTCCTAAATTCATCGACACCCGGAAACCCCTACGCGCACTCCTGCCGCAGGACCTCCGGATGATGATGATGATCCTGATGATGGTGATGATGACTTCCCTGGTAATCCACCCGATGATAACGGTGGTGATCCGGACAATGATCTGGACAATGATGACGATGAAAACGGTGGCCTAAACCCACAGGACCGCGTTATGCTTCGACTATCAGAAGCCATCAATAACCTTGCTCGCAACAATCGTCGCGCACCTGCATCCGAAGATTCCAAAGTCAAGGTCTGCGAACCAGATACCTTTGACGGATCCGAACCCGGAAGCTCCGTGCGTTTCTTCGTCCAGTGTGAGCTTAACTTCCAGAGCAAGCCTAAGGCTTTCCGTACCGGAAGGGCTAAAGTCAACTTCGCCCAATCCTACCTTAAGGGTAATGGCTCTTGAATGGTTTGAACTGGATCTCCTGTTCCAATGATTTGGACGATCGTCCGGATTGGATGAGCGACTATTCCGCATTCATGCTTTGAACTCCAAAACCAATTTCGGACCTCACGACCCATCCGGTGATGCAGAAATGCAGCTTGAACAGCTCCACATGCGTGATGGACAACGCATCAACAAGTACGTTGTGGAATTCCAGCGTCTTGCTTCACAGGTCCGTGGCTGGGGCGATGGGAGCCTTACGACGCCAGTTCTAGAACGGACTTCTGGCCCGTATCAAGGATGAAATCAGTCGCATGGGTAAACCCTCTACTCTTTCCAAATACAAAAACCCTCGCTCAGACTATCGACGCCCGATACTGGGAATGGAAGGGAGAGATCTCCCGAGAGACTAAACCCGCTTCATCCACTACCCCTAGCAATCTGCTTCTGACCGGACCAACGCCAATGTGTCCTGGATCCGGAAATAACAAATCCAGAAACTCCAACTCCAGTAACCAGAAATCTGCGAAGCCATCCGCGTCCTCAAGCTCGTCAACTCCTAGGGTTCCGGACCTTAATTCCAAGCTGGGTAAGGACGGAAAGTTAACGTCCGAAGAGCGGCAGAGAAGATTGGAACAAGAAACTCTGCTTGTTCTGTGGCGGACCCGGCCATACGGCTTGGGAATGCAATAAGTCTACTTCGCGCGCTGCCAAGGGCCGCGCTGCAGTAGTCGCTCCGGAAGTCAAACCGGAGGTCTCATACTGAGACAAAAAAATAGTCACGACCCTCCTAGCTCCGTGCAGGAAGAGGGTCGCGTTGACTCTGCCTGCACAAAGGAGTTAAGACTCAATGCTGTCGCGCTCTCGGATCCGACTTCCCTCTGTCCATATGTTTCACTTCCGTTACTCCCATCCATATCCGATTTTCCAGGTCTTGTAGATTGTGGTTCTTCTCATTGTTTCATAGACTCTGCGTTCGTCCAAAACATAAAATCCCTACATATCCGATACCTCCGATTCCGCTCTGCTTGTTTGATGGTACTTGTAAATAATACTGTTTCCGAAGCTATAGATTTGTCCGTCCATTTTCCGTCTGGTGTAGTCACCTCTGATATGTTCTAACGTTACCCCCCTTTGGATTGAGCCCCTTCAGTGACAAATCCCGTATTATACGGGTCACCCGACCTACATAATATCCCGTGTAATACGGGCAGCGGATTATGGGCCGATGTTAGGTATATTCCCGATGTTGACGGGTGGGCCGGGAGGAATATTATTTCCGATGGAGACGGGTGGGGCCCATCTATGCTGATGTTATATATATCATTGACGATAGCGATGGGCCAGGAGAAATATTATTATGGGATGGGTGGGCCCATGTGGGTAATATTGTAGAGTAGGATTGACATATATTATAGACCTGAGGAGAGATGTATAAGCAAATAGTATTATATGATGTGTGGGCCGACGTATAGTATTATTTGTAGACGGATGGGCCGAGGGTGAGGGGAATTATTTATTACATAGATGGGGTTGGCCGACGTGGGGTAATATCAGATAGACGGGTGGGCCGAGGGTGAGGGAATTATTTATTACATAGACGGGTTGGCCGACGTGGGGTAATATTAGATAGACGGGTGGTGCTTAGGGTGAGGTGAGTTATTTATTAGATAGACGGGTGGGGCCGACGTGGGGAATTCTACATAGATGGGTGGGCCGACGTCGGTAATATTAGATAGACGGGTGGGCCAAGGGTGAGGTGAATTATTTATTAGATAGACAGGTGGGCCCAGATACGTATCATATAGACAGATAGGCCTAGGTAT